CCCGTAATTCCGAAGACATGACTTGAAGGCCGGAACCTTCGAAGCTTTGGGAATTAGTAAAACGGGTAACCACAGTCTTTGAACAAACTCTTTTCCAGAAATGGCTTTCAAGGTAGGTAAAACTCGTAAACCATTGAATTGTGTCAAATCGAGTACTTTCTCCTCTTTAGCTACGAATTCTAGACGATCTTTACAATTGCTTGTTAAGTAACCAAGGTGACACAGAGGTAGCTGATGATGATTGTGTTTTACATTCAGTGTTTCTTCCGTTCATTTTGCAGCCTTGTATATATTGGTATCTAAGTTCATTCACAACTTAAAAAACGTACATGTATACTAGTGAGCACTTGGGAGTGCAGTTGGGCAAAATTTTTTCCTTTTTAGCTCGTTTTCTGTAGTTGTTGATATTCACCTCTAGAAATTAAACACCAGTCTCGTTTTCCACACTTGCGTAAATAACGTTTCTGTTGTTAATAGGTGCGCAGACAAAAGAAGGCCTCTGTTTTGCAAGTATTGCCAACCTGTTCACAAATGTGATGATGGTGTGAGATAAAATGTCCCATAACCTGTAAATTGTTAGATTTTCTTTGGACTTTATGACGATTACAGTTATCGTTATGGTTAGCAAAACGGAAAGCCTTACTTTTATTTAACAGACGTAAACTAAAAGTTCGGTTGGGGATGGTGACCTCCGGACTGTCGTAAACTTTACCTAATGAAAAGCGGGTAGAGAAGGGAAGACCAAAGAACAACACAGAACATAAATTGAACAAAATTGTATCATTTTCAAAATTCATAATCTTTTGCTGTTTACTAAGTTTCTTTTTTGTAACAGTTTACTGACTAAATGGCTTTTATTTAGCTGTTTACTGACTACGGCTATACCCCATTGAGACCCTCATAAATAGACACTTGCTTGATGCAAGGCTGTGCATGCAGATGTCCGCACCATTGCTATTTTATCCTTGAGTCAATGAAAAGCCATTCAGAACAAAATTAAAATAAACAAATATACATAAATTAGCATAATACAAATAATTTCAATTATCAATTTTCGGTTGAACTTCAGTTATATGTAACCCTTTCAGCTCCTTTTGACAGGAACTTTTTGAAACTTTAACATTTCCCTAGGTATAGGCGTCATTGGCAAAGAAAGAACAATAAGTAAAGCTACTAAATTTGCTTTCTCCACTGTCTGAAACTCTTGACCCAAATCCCAATATTAGCCACCGCGCCCTTTGCAAGTCGGGAGAACACGAAACGACATTAAATTTACATTTTTTCTGCTATCAGTCATCGAACGTATTCGACGTTCATAATACGCATTTTACCAGGAGACATATTTTTTCCCACCAGAAAGAAGTTGATTTCAGTATCTATGCCATCGAGAGCAAGGACAAGCCAGTTAAAAAGGGACGTTTTCCACAGTAAAGAAGGTTTTTGGTACTTTTCAGTAGTTTTCACCTCGGACCATTTCAACGACTAGTGGTTTTCTTGTAGCTCAAGTAGCCTTATACCGTAGTGGAGGATAAAAAACGCCGGAAGCAGTCTTTCAGATCTTAGGAACGAAATATCGTTTACAGTGTGGTGTAAATGACATTGCAAAAGGCCCTCTTGAAGGCCCTCTAGACACTTGAACACTGCGAGTTTTGCGTGACTTGAACACTGCGAGTTTTTGCGTTACATTATAATTCATTGTGTCATACATGTAGTATGTTCAGCTTTCTTGTGCGAGCCTGCAATGCTTGTGGTTACAGTTGGCCGCCATGTTTTGTAAGGACAGAGATTTGGTGATTAAAGCCTAGTATTTCTGCAGGCAATCGTCTTTCTCATTTACAACATACAGCGCCCCCATACCTTAAAAGATTTTTTTAAAAAAGGAATGTTGAACAAGATTTTGGCCGGAATGGGTGGTTATATTTCATTGTTGAGAAGAACTTCTCTGAAAGTCTGTAGGTGCTGTGATCGAACGGTCAAAGTAAGCTTTCAAGTAATGGACATTTTCAGGAAGAAAACCAGTAAATCTCAGTCCAAGAATCTAGGGAATCAAAACATGTATCTTCAGATCCCACCTTTCCTCGATTGTGCCCAGGCCCCGCACCTGGGTAGAAGGACAGATGGCTCTGGCACGAAAATGGGCCCTGCTTTTTCTAGAGTTATAAATAGACTGTACCAGGCTGCCGCCGATCCTTTTGGTTTACCAGCTGTCTGACCTCCAGTAATGATTCAATTTAGTGCCTTCGTTCCAGTAGGGTATCGAGTCTAGTAATGGCTCCCTCTTGAGAGCCATTTTTTTTAAATAAGCGCCCTTATTCCGACCTGCGCCCTCTTCCAGTAAGCACACCCATTGTAAAAGTTACATGTCAATTCAAGACATTGACGTACATGTAGGACCCAGTGGGCTGATCTGCTTTCTCGTCTGAACGTAATGTTGAGCATATTGGCCGTTTTCACTGTAAAAGAGCGGCGATGTTTTTAGACGAACAAGTCGTCTTCTCAGACGGCGTGACGAACACGATTTTGGAGGTAATAGTCCTAAGGCTTTGTCCGTGGATTTGTCTATAAACGCGATTCTCGGAGGCCCTGTTTTTCGTCTAGTAGCGAGAGTCGTCCAAAAGCCGACTTAAATTCACTAAATGATCGTTTCTCGGTAGAGTGGGGCTAGCGAAAGGGGCGTTGATTTGTTGTACACCGCGAAAGCAACCGGCTATTGTTTCTCCCAAAGGTGGGTGAAACAGGAGCCGAAAAAGGCGGATGCTCCCGCAGGCTGTTTGTGGTTGCAACCACGAGGGCTGCTCGTAACAGTGTCAAAGAAGGAAAATAAAGAACCAGTCACGGTGGCTTTCCATTCAAATCATTACAACGATTAGTGGTTTTCTTGTAGCGTCTACATGCTCAAGTATAGTGTGATATTGAAATAAAGGTTCGACTAGTTAACTCTGTTGTAAGTGTCAGTCCTCGTTGAGATGGCGTGGCCATTTTTTACAAGTAGGGCAGAATGCGGGGTAACCAGACTGAGGTTGTTTCCAGGGCTTCTTGCATTTCAAGCTCGTCTGTAAGTTGACTTATCCGTCTATTTATTCGAAGAATTGTCTGTCCAGATGATTTGTCTGTTATTTAGGGCACGTGTGAAAACAGCCATTAACTTGAAATAAACCAGGGGATAGTGTTATGCCTATAACCTACTATTCTTACTGTGAGTCTACAGTCCTTGAGTTACACAACCTGTTGTTGTGCTGCATCCTATGCTAAAAGTCAAGAAGAAATAATTGCCCAGTCGCTAGTAATCGCCCCTCGGCAATAGCCACCTTGACGCAAATCAACACACGAGGTGCTAAATATAACAGTGCTTAGCTCTTGTGGTCTATTTTGGACACGTGTACGCCGGACTTAAAACACCTCTCAAAATATTTTGAATTTCATTCGTGCACTAGTCCCGCAAAACAAAAGATTTGTTACGTAATCAGATCGGATGAAAGGGACGCTTTTCACGGACGAACAATTCCACGTGTTGTCGAAAAACCGCTTAGCTATAAATAAATCAAATATAGTTACTAGATCGCCTACACTTCTCTCTTGGTTAAAGAAGAGTTGTTTATACAATTGCTCCAAACATGCGTTAAACGATCATACTCCACCACAAGCTGAGAATTACTCGAATAGATTTTAGTAATGGAAGATATCTTACGGTCTATAGACAAGCTAATGAAACGTGGTATTTTCTTTACTAGAAAGGTGTGTTTCTGCGCTGGTTTATCTCGAGTTAAAAAAGAGAAGTTTAGCGAAAGTTGATGGGAGATAGCAATATAGGAAGTTGAGTCGAAACAACGAAAATAACGGGTCTGCAATGCAGATCTTTGCGATATCCTTTGTCGCGTGACCGCCATTAAAATGCGTGCGTGTTTTCCGGCCGGAAATTGTCTTTTTGCGTGACTTTAACATAGAATATTTAAATTACACGTGTTAACATTAAATCCTTTACAAACTAGCGTAAACAATAATTTAAGACTTCGTTGTTCCCCAGTGTCAGAAAGACTAAACATATGTACGAAAAACAACACAAAACAATTTTCTTGTGCTAACCAGAACAGTAAACGTGTCTTGCGCCAAGGTTATCACGGTGTAAGCTGACCGCAACTTAATTGTTGACAAGATTATTTTTGGCATTTGCCCAAGTCGCGTGACGCTTTGACGTCGTCGGAATATAACCCGAATTGACCCGACGCTTTGGTAAACACGAGACATTAATATGCTCACGCAAATCGGATGACGTACGTGAGTGTTTTGAACTTGAGATTCTCGGTTTCGAGTTTAATCGCTCGCACGTCATCGAGGTCGTCGTGTGATCGGCAATTAATGGGAAGTCGACCCGAACTGAGTAGAAAGCGATCGGATGACGTTCGAAAGCCATTTTGGTGAGAGCGGAAATCCGAGTTCACTTCAGGACCGACATTGTTACTCACTTACCAAAGAAATATATTGCTTTTATATAGAACCGATGCGTAAAATTCATATTGTTTAAATTTTCTTGACTTTTCATGCATGTATAATTTTGGTTTCAAGAAGCTAGCACGTACGTGTTGCTTTGTCAACGTTAATCTTCTCAAAATAATAGCATCTTTCAGAAATGATTTACAGCAATGAAGAAAAGATAAAGTTATCGTGGAAAATGGAAAACAGCATGTAAACAGTTGACTCATGAAAGTTTGCCGCCGGCTCCATTGATTATTCGCCAGGGGGCAAACAAAATTGCAACAGAACGGTTGAAGCCATAATGTTTTTTTTTTTTTAATATTAAAAATGAAAAAAGAGAGAGAGAAGAAAAGAAACCTAAGCATTGAGCGAATAAGTAAACAAAATATAACAATTAAAGGGTAAAAGTTGATAGCTGTAGAGGCAGTGGCTGCAGTACATGTTATGCCGCACAACAAAATATGACTTGGTGGTATTACTAACACTGCTAAGTCAGCAGTTCGTCTTAACAGTAGAGGAGACTGAGATCTACTCAAGACAAAATATTTTATTTCAGTTCTATCTGCTTGGTAACATTTCACCGACATAAGAACAGTGATTGTAAAACTTTTCAAAACGTGAATCATCGATGTACGGTTCATGTGAGCTTTCCTCTTGTTAAGTTTTTCGATTTTATTTAATTTAACAGTGTAGTTATATCTTAATGACTTGCTAAAAACTACCATTTGCTTTAGGTTTATTTTAGACCCTTATATGCAGCCAGTCCCATAATTTACTTTGTAGCTATCGTCCTGTCCAGCAGTACTTTATTTACGTTTCATCTTTAGTTGAATCCGTCTGGTCAACAGTATTACACCAAAGAGGCTTACCAAACTTAAACAAACTACCGCACACGGTTGTGATGAATTTGAATTTTCCATGTTATTTACCGACTAAGCCAAGTAAGGTTTTGTTATTGAAGATAATACGTAATGGTATTTACTTTATGATACTGCTTTTCTCGTGAATAACTAAGCTTCTCATCTCCGTTATCAGTACGGAACACCTCTTCTTAAAATGAAGTTGTAAATTAGGTTGCGAGTATCAATTCGGATTACAAAGGAAACATGGAAGATTCAAATTCGTGGTCTTTCTTTGTTTGTCGTATGATGTACACAGAAATCAGTAATAAGATCTAAAAGCAGACCTAATTTGACTCTGATGGTCCTGAAATTTTAACCAGCGCAGATTAAGCAATTTTACCTTTTCCGATTCCTTACAATTTATTTACACACTGAAAATGCTGAGCGAAATTTTGTTTTCTGTGTTGTTTTGTTAACTACTGTCATAACCTGGTCTAAAGCACAGGTACGCATAAGCTGGATGGTAGGGTGCATATCGTATCACAGGAACAGGCGTGTACGAGGGGTAGAATATACGACTTCTGTTGCTCGAGTCATCGGATTCTACCGCTCTGTCTTGGTCACTGTTTGTGTCCTCCATCTTTTGGTTTGTTCTTTTTCCTTTTGATCGACGATTGGAAAACCAGACCTGAGAAAAACGACAATAAGTATTTGTCAGAATTGTATCTGTATCAGTCTGCTGTGGTTCCCATACAACCGGCTTATACATGGGGTCTTGGTAGCGAGTAAAACCTTCTTTTTAGAGTTCCTCTCATTAACACACGGTATAAATTATTTCAATCTACGGGGGAGAGTTGGACAATCAGTGTAACCCATTCTCTGAGGTTCAATTAACGAGATACCCTGTTGATATGGAGTTTCGGAAGTTTTTTTGTCGGAAATCGATCAGACTAACTTGCATGCCGATGGGCGGACATATACGGTACATTTTGTTTTTGAAATGAGAAAACAATTATCTTTCTGAAGTCTGGAAAAATAACCTTTTAGTCTGTGGATTTGATCCTGATGTTTTATAAAAAGAAACACTCGTGTCGAGGTGAATTCACGTGCTAAGCACATGTTTTACAAGTTTAATCGTGATTCTACCTCGTAAGTCTATAGATGAAATGAAGCTCCTGGGTAATACTTTATGTCCTGAGCTAGCCCGCAGCTGTTAGGACCGGGTCACGAGAAAGGTTTGCAGACGAAACTCACCTGAATTCTCGATTCACTGATGTCCAATCTTTCTCCAAGTTCCTCGCGAGTCAGCACATCCGGGTATTGTGTTTTCTCGAAGGCTTTCTCCAGTTCTCGAATTTGATGTGGAGTGAACTTTGTTCGATTTCGTCTTCTGTAGTGTCTCAGCTTTTGCATCCCACTTGTAATGGAGGCAATGTCGCTGGCACTTACTGCAGCTGGTGACGAGGAAGTCGATTCTGCAAACGATCAACAGAACATTGTAACAAACATAAATACAGCATGAGCCGGGTCCCTGGATAACCAGGTGACTCCCAATAAAACAACTTAACTCCTAAAGATAAGTTTAGCATAGACAGCAGCGACTGTTGCTCAGTTATGACAGCAATTCAGTTCATTTTAAAATCTGAATAGCGAAAAGCTTCTGTGGTTTCAACACTCTGCCATAAGACAAGACAGTGATTACAGACCGTCCTCTTTGGCATCTAGGTCATCCTTAAATTCACTTTATGGGTTTGAGCGACTTATTAATCCCTTCAGGTTTAAGTTTTCTTGCACTGTGACACCGATATAATAGTTTGAAGTAGTCTTTCGTATCACATTTCCGTCGCCAGGCAAGGTGCTCAACAACCTTATGTTTTCATTTAAAGATCCTGTCTTACCCGGCTCTTCTTGAGAGGAAGATGACGTGGAAGGACTCAAGCTGACAGTTCTTGTCTCCTCGTTGATACTGAGGATATTAGCAATGGAGAATGATCTTCTCTTGGGTCTAGGCTTGGGTTTTCCAGCATCCCCACTGTTTGTGCTCGAAGTATCACCCTCACTCTCTGCGTCACTGTTTTCTCCCTCAGACTTTTCCATATAGTCACTTCCAGTTGACTTGACCCTTCTTAGCATCCTGCTGATGACAGTTAAGGGTGGCAGACTTTCCTTAGTGCAATAACCGTCAGCCATTAGCTTTTCTTTGACTTCCCAGGAGAAGATTCCTGGCGTTGCGCGGCGATACTCCTCAATTTTGTTCTTCACTTCCGAGCTCACATCTCTCGATGTCTTCCTCTGCGCGCGGCCGGGTTCAAACGATCCAGTGTCGTTGTATTTGGAAAGCAGCTTACTGATGCAGCCATGTGAAACTTTCAGTTGCCGGCTGATATCACATGGGCGGATTCCGAGTTCAGCCATTTCGATGATTCGTTGACGAACGGAGTTTGGAAGTGGTTTGCCATTTACAAAAACTCCACCTAGCTGGTTGAACTTCCCGTGACCTACAATAGTTTAAAAAATAGTTTAGTTGCAGATACATCCATTGTACCGCAAGCCTGACTAATTTTCATTAACGAGTTGGCCACCGACACTTCTTCGCAATAATAATTCCGATTAGATAGCCATAGGCGGCTGTGGCGCCATTATTACCTCATATCCTCAGTCTAACTTGGAAAATTAAACAGAGATATCCCGAAGAAAGCTTTATTTAGAAGGTATACCTGGGCAGTTATTCAAGCAGTCACTTCTCATTAGATTCGAAACCTCCTCTGGCTGCTAAAAAAACACACCGAGGAGAGTGTTTGTGGTTCTCCTGTCACGACACGAGGCACTGAATACACTGAAAGCTTTTTATTCCTGTCTGCCGGTGCAGAAATAAACTAAAGCAAACGAAAGACTCTTTAGATATAGTTGGCCCCTGAAGACGTTAAGGGCAACTTTGCCACAGCGTTTAAGGCAAACATCACAAATATGTCTTTGGTTGTTCCTGTTTTGTTTTGCTAATCATTATCATTATCTCCATCCGTTTTCACGTTATACCTTATGGAAGTTATAATTCGCAGCAACACTTTGTTACTCGCACTCTTGGTTAATCGATTCCTGGTCACTGTTTTAGATCTGACTAACCAGTTTAGCGTGCTTCTAAGCAGCGATGAATTAGTTCTAGTCGGTAACAGATTTTTGGATGGCCGGTCTTCGATGCAAATCATTAGTTACTGACACAGCAAAACCTGATATAAATAAAATTTTTAAAACGTGCCTGCTGTAGAGTTGATATCCGTGAATTCCATTATTCCTTTCCCTGGCTGCCAATTTTCAAATCCAGTTCCCAAAATCGTAGATAATGAAGCGTTATTATAGTTTTGCTGTCCGCTTAGCTTACCACGATACCGCGTTTTTCGAATTACTCAATGTGTGACTGAAGCTGGGTAAGTTATAAGATATAATGTGGGCGGGAGAACGTTTGACGTCATTGGTCATAACAAAGACAAGTGGTGCTTTCCTAGTACGTGATCGTGAATAAATCGTCTGTACGGGCTGTTTACATTTGGATTCTACTTCCGCTGTAAATTCGCAACTTTGTATGTTGTCCATTGAGAAAAATGGATCACAATAAGAGGATGACAATTGTTTATGTCTGTTTTTATCACAGTTAAGTGAAATTGGAGGGATGCAAAGCGAGGCTAGCAAGTCTTTCAGCTTCTACTTTAATGAACACAACTTAACCACGCTCTTGGACACGGAAATCGTTCATTTGGTACAAACACAGAAAATAATTCTAGAAATCTATGCATTTTCCTGAGGAACACATGTAAGAAGCCTTAATTTATCGTGGGCGTTCATGTTCTCGCTTTGTTAACCGGTTAAAGCTAGACGTAAAATATGTCTATTTTATCTAGTTTTCCGCAAATGGAATTATACAGGACTATTTATAAATTTATTGCGAACTTACGCGACAATTAATGCACCTGTGTGGCTGTAATGATTAGTATTTTAGTCGGAGGCAACTTTTAGACAACCAATCAGGTAAAAAAAATATTTGAAATTTAAAAAAGTTTAGCAGGCACTTCATCTGGGCAGGAAAGCTCTCCTGCCTTCTTTGTCCGTCAACGGAAATAAACGTGCCAACTGAACAAGATTATATTTTTGCCTAAGTTTTAAATAGCTGTCTGTTGTTCGTTTTAGCGTGCCTCAAGCGCGACCGCTCGAATGATTTTGTTTTGACGGCCACGTCAGTTGGTCTGGTGGCCCTTTGTATTGTCTCTGTAATTGGATACCATTTGCTGTTCACGTGCGATTGATATAGCGTGACGTCTGACGGAACGCCCAAGGGCAATACAAACTTAGCGAGATAGCATGCATATTTTATCTGGGTGGGTGGGTTCTTAGGTCACGCGAAACTTCCGGTGCAAAGAAAGAAATATTCAGCAGTCCTTTGCCGTTGTATTGCGAAACAACAAAGGCCAAAACAAATCAATACAACGAATCGCGCTTATTTTTCTTCCTTTCAAAGTGTGGAAATGAAAGCTTTCTTCAATCGCAAACACTAGATTACTATGTATATGGAGTGCCAAAAAACTTGTTGTCGGAGGAAAAATAATCGCGGAAAAAGAAAACAGTAACAATTTCTGTTAGTTTCGCGAAATAACCGATACCAACGAGAAAACAACTTCTAACTAAAAAATTATATTTTCCCAAAACGGAAGTCCTCACCACAGCATAGCGTTCAAAATAACAATAATAAAATAATAATGAAGACAGGAAGTTTAAGGAGCATATTTCGCAACACCGTTCACCACAGGTCTCGATGCCTACTGCCAAGCATGACTTCCTGCATAAAGATGGATATACGTAACGTCAGTTCAAGTTGATTTTGAACGCCCACGTATCTGTCCGGTTTCACGTGTAGAACAGCTAAAGTAATCTTAAATATATAGCCAACTCACGAAAAAATAAAATACTCCTGTAGAAGTGAAAAAGGCTGGTTTGAGGTAATTATTGGAATGCTTTATACGTAGGTGATGTCCGTTCTTTCGTTTTCAACAGCGACGGGAATGAGACAGGTGCACTCAGTATGTAAACATTAGAGACAGGAAGTTAATGGTAACTGAAGTGATTGCGAAACGCGCTGACAAGTTCACGGTCAAGCATAAGACCACTAAGATCGTAAAAATCTCTCTAAATATTGGCTCAGCACTGTCACGCCGCTAAACTGCGCGTGATCTACAAGCCTTATACCGGTGTGGTTTTATGTCTTGTCTGGGCTCCTGGTCTTGTTTTTGTATTATTATTATTATTATTATTATTATTATTATTATTATTACTATTATTATTGTTGTTTTGTTTCGTTGTGTATGTGTGTGGGTTTTTTTTATTTATTAATTCATTAATTCATTTATTTATTTATTTATTTATTTATTTATTTACTTTACTTTTTATTTTTTGGGGGGGTGGTGGGGGGGCCCTTGTGTGTGCGGGTTTTTTATTTTTGGGGGAGCTTACAACACTAAATTATCCGATAATTTCAATTTTCATTAAATATATTGCTTGTCCCCCGCGTGTAGGTGTAGAACCCATTAGATCTTGTGTTACATCAACAAAGGACTCTACATGCAAGTTCTGCTCACCCGAGCTCATCACGGCACCTGTCGTATGAGCGACTTTGCACGGTTAAGGAATATACATTAAATGATTACATTATCTTGCTTAGTTCTAATGGGGTTTAAAACCAATAACTCTTTTTTTGTTCCAGCTTTTTGAACGTGAAACATAAATTGGATCCGGTTCCTTGCTATCTAGTTAAAATTCACCGTATTTTATTTTTAAGGTTCCACTGTTTGCGTCTGTATTAATCAAACAGAAATTCAGAAGAGTGTTCATTATGAGCTGTATCAGACTCCGGGTTGTCAAATATCCCTCGTCCACAGTCGAGATCTTGTCACAGGGCGGATCTAAAAAGCTGAAAAGTTTTCTCAAGAAACGTTTTGCTCACTAATCACCGTTAGTCAGTCCTGGCTATAAAACTTCTCTTCTCGACCGATTTTATCACATGACGATGTTATCAGATGTTCTTTGTAACTCGTAAACCAATGTGCGCGCGTGTACTGAAATGGTAAGCTCCATCACGACCCCAAATCGTTTCTTTTTACACCAAGTCAGTGAAAATTACAATACATACAGTGGAGTTGGACTGATCCGGCATCCAGTCAATATTTTTAACATTCAACAGTTTAAGAATGGTTATGTGAAACTTTGATATTAGTACTTTCCTGAGAAAAACTCATAAATGATGAAAAAGCTGATTCTTAACTGTTTTCATTTACACGGATTATCTATTAAGTTTCCTTTTCTTTTTTTCTTTCTCTTTTGTGATGTTTCATGGTCCCGGTTTGTTGTACTGATGGGAACTCATGCTGGGCCGTAACTTACCAAACTATGTGCCAGATGTCACGTACGTTATTTATCATTATCAAGTTAATTAAGTTTTAAATGAACTCTCGTTGCGGGAGAAACTATTCTGCCTTTCGGTACATTGGGTCATATTGTCCACATTCTTGCTTTTCTTACAGCAGAACAATATTGAAAGCAGCTTTGTTACCATCAATATCATGATTAGTAACTCACGTTTCACTGAGTTTGTTTCATATCTAATTTATTCAAGCTCAATAACATCTTGTGTGCGACGACGAACATATTGGGCCGCATTCTCTGCTGTAAGTGAGTCCCTTAAACTTTGTTTGAACAGTTTTTTGATCTTTTTTGTTTGCCAACCTCCAAAACATTGAGTTCTAGGAGTTCCTCCACGTTCACCTTTTAGAAACCAAATACATATATACTGAGTTAATGAAATGCATTCCAAAGTGTTCAAAGTCTGAAAGTGCACAGTCCCAGCCTCAGGAATTTCTCATTTTTAACTGTGGCTCTTTAGAGCGTCTTTAGAACTCTCAGGTGTTTTCTGTGGCTTCACACTCTATCTAGCCTTCGATGCAAACGTTCTCGTACGTTTATCCGCACCAATAATCGTCAGGATTGATTCAGTGTTTTAAAAGAGAAAGGATTTTTTTTTAGACGCCAGTAAGTGTTCGGTGTAATCATATCAAGTAAATCACTTGTCATTAAGGATATAATAGCCCTAATCAGTGTCAATAACGCTGCGGTTCAAGTAGTTCCAAGAATACCGTTTGGGTCAGAACTCATTAGTCGCCTTTTTCTCCGTCAGACATACAAGCGGACCATTTTGTAACCTTTCCTTATTTAAGTAGTACCTAGTTCTAGCTTTTCGATCCGAGGGCGTTATGTCCCAGATTCAGTTGGAAAGTTTAGCCTTAATTTATTGTTACACTTATTGCTTTAGGTGATATCTTTCATTGATATCACCGGAGGGTCAAACGGTGCCTGTTCATTTATCATAAATGAGAAGTACGTTTACATGAAGAAAGTCCTAGCTTCTGAAGTGTGTGGCTCCTGCATTGATTGTTCAATCAGTGTTAAACCTCATGCTAGAGTTACGCAATGACAGAGTACAGGATACAAAAGGGTGAAGATCTTTTTTTATTATTATTTTTCGCTATATGCACATGGTGAGTGATCAAGTGATATAGAAAACCGTTGATAGAAAATTACCATAATAATGATATGGTATTAATAAACATGTCAGACGGTACATGTCAACAATACACGTCAAACATCTAGAATTTTACGACTCAGTGAATTCGTCTTGAACTTGATAAGGCAAAAAGTCTGAAAAACGGATTAAAACGAATAGAATACAGAGTTTGAAAACTCCATCGTTTTCATGTAAGATGGCAGAACTGTACAATTACGGTATGTTAGTCATTGCTCAGCAAAAGTTAAATTGTAGCAAAACTGAGTCAATGTTTCTTTGCCCATGGTGGCCGGTGGCTATTGAAATTCGTTTCCAGTTATTATAGTGTCATCATCTGAATAGGTCTGAAGTGCATGTAGGGAAAAACACGAGCAGCTGGGTATGGAGCGTAGCGTATGACAGGTACCACTGGATATGAAGGGTAGAAGATACGAGTCTTAGTTGATTCAGGACTGTTGTCTTCGTCAGCTTCTGGTTTGTGGAATTTCCTGCTTTTCGATTTGGAACGGTGGTTTGAAAACCAGACCTGTAGAAAGAAAAATAGGGAGCTTATTAGTTCTTGTTTCTTGGCAGTATATGTGCGATGTCTTTCCATAAACTGTAATTGTCTTAAACGTCACTATATGATTGTGAGATGATTGCATTTGTGAACATTTCCCGTACATTGCTTTGAAAAAAAAAATGCCCAACCATGCTTACCTGAATCTTGGATTCGCTGATATGAAGTCGCTCTGCAAGTTCTTCTCGTGTTAGAGCATCAGGATATTGCGTTTTCTCAAAGGCTTTCTCTAGTTCTTCGACTTGTTCAACTGTAAACTTGGTTCTGTTCCTTCGCTGATACAATCTTACATTATGGCGGCTGCTGTTGTTGATGCTGCTGCTGTTGTTGCAATTGATGACTGCTGGGCTTGGCAAGTCTCTTAGTACCGCAGAATGGCTAACAGTAGATCCTGGTGAATGAAACACAAAATAATTTTGTAAATTAATGTACCACCAAAATGTGAAATTTTATTGAGTAATTTTCTATTTGATTAGCTTTGGGTACAGCCGGAGTACAAGAATTGAACATCCATCCATCTGTGCAAACTGCTCTGAGTCTATGATATTTCTGACCTAGAGCCGAAAAATAAAACATAGTGTGAGCTGCTTACCTAGGTCAATGACTTTGCTTGGAGTCAATTCACTGGTATCCATCTTTTCCTTATCAGCCCTTTCCTCTTTTGTTTCCCATTTATCTTCAGCTTTGAGGATGTTGTCGATAGAGAAAGGAGTAAAACCTTTGTGTGGTGCATTCTCTTTAGAGCTGTCCATCCCCACTTCACTGGCACTAACCGATGATCTTTCATATTCACTGCCGGTTGATCTCGCTCGTCGCAGTAACCTGCTAATTACAGTTAAGGGTGGCAGACTTTCCTTAGTGCAATAACCGTCAGCCACAAGCTTTTCTTTGACTTCCCAGGAGAAGATATCTGGTGTTGTGTGGCTGTACTCCTCAATTTTGTTCTTCACTTCCGAGCTCACATCTCTCGATGTCTTTCTCTTGGCGCGGCCGGGTTCAAACGAACCAGTGTCGTTATATTTGGAAAGCAGCTTACTAATGCAGCCATGTGAAACTTTCAGTTGCCGACTGATATCACATGGACGGATTCCAAGTTCAGCCATTTCGATGATTCGTTGACGAACGGAGTTTGGAAGCGGTTTCCCATTTACGAACACTCCACCTAACTGGTTTAGCTTGCCTAAGGAAGGAAAAAACAAACATTGTTCAATGGTTAAACTACGCTATCGGCTAGGTGTGATATACTAGGAAATAAAGACATAAATGTTTGTTTTGATCGCCTCATATATTTGTTCTTTCTTAACCATACTTAAGTGGCTCATGTCTGCAATTGTACCGTCGCATGAGCAACTGAATTGTGTCGTGACATTCTTAAAACGGAATCAAGCTAAACCCTGTTCCGCATAGCTTATGAGAAACTTAAATATTTGCGCCATATCTACCTGATTTAAAAACTTCCTCCATCTTTGGCTAGAGAATTTTCAGACTTTGATGCGCCTCTGGCTCTTGTTGGTGTGCTCTTGATTTGTTTTGGTTTGTCCGCGGCGATGGTGCGCCGCTAATATAGGATATCGTGTCTAGGCGGGATATCTTTGACGTCAAAGCACTTCTATTTTAAGAGCGCTGTTTCTAAACATAGTCTAGAGGAAACAATAGAAAATCACGTTCATAAATCTAATTAGTCTTTTGTTAATAGAGTTATGCTCAGTTGACCTTTACATGACGTGTTTCGTGCACTTTCGCGTGACGAGCTCTGGGTGTAGTCGTTAACGCTTTATGCGCACACGTGACGATCATTTCTCGTGTCGTGGGAAAGTTTTCTGGAGGCGATATTGATACATTCGGATCAAACGCTCTTTACACCCCTTTCCTGTTATTAAACACAAAATCCTGTGTTCGTCTCGTCTGTAGAAGTAAGAGCAAGTAAGAGTTTCTATGAGTAACGTTCAAACTGTGCCAATTTAACAACCTTCCGTTCTAAGGAACAATATGTTTTGATATGACAGTATCGCACAAAGCCATATCCTTTTTCTCTTTTGCTCTTTAGTAGATTTGAATTATTTTTCGTCTTCGAATTCCTTTTATTTTGGCTGTAAAACATGCCAGACTGATTTCAAAATAAGATTATAGCTGGCCTTGTTGATTAGTAGAACATGTGACACATAACAATGGAGCGGACATCCGGATAACGTGGGAGATAAAAACACTTAAAAACCAATTCAGGCGAAATAAAAACAAAATCCTTGAACGTAATGTTGATCATGTGTACGTCCAAAACTCACAATAACAAATAAGTACTATTTGAAGGGCTTTTTTATTCCAAGGTGTGATGACAACAAAACGAGCGTAGTGTCTGAATTTACGCAACCGCACACCCTAAAAAACAAATCAGTGACATGTTACTGACTTCGCCAATCCGAGAAAGTTTACGGTAGTTTTCACGGTGTATCATGTTTGTCTGTGTAATTGTATTTCCCGCACATGGCCGCCGTAACTTTAGACGATGCTCTTTATATCAATTTAATCTAGCTTAATCTGCAGTGTCTTAAAGTTACTGACATAATAGTTTGTCTGTGAAATTGCATCCTCTCAATTGCAGAAAGGCACAAAGTGTTTTTCTTCCTTATTGTTCGTCTGGCGGGGAACTGCTTTCACTTTATGAATAGCACAGCACTGATGTGAGGCCCCCTTCTTTTCTTTCCAAAAAGTAAACAAACGTAGTGGTGGTGTCTCAGCAGCGAGAGCGGGGCGAATTGCTGTAGGTTACAGCCAGTAGCGACCTGTGCAAAAACATCTGTTGCATCTTGTTGTCTGACCGTGGTCGGCCAGAATTAAGTTATCCTTGACACTTTTTCTATACTTGCCGGTTTTGCTGGTTTTTCAGTCCTCATTAATCTTTTTTTAGAGCTTTGAACATTTGAATTAGACAACGGTCGCAATGTATCTGGTTTATCAGTTTTTTTTAACCTTGTATAGCAAACAAAAAATGAACTTCCTAAAACGTCCGGTGTCGATGTCACGTCGGCCAATAAAACGTAGATCAGTCAGTGTTGGTAATCTTTATCCATCCATTTTCTTTGTTTTGAAAAACTGACACTTTAAAATTACATTTGCAGTGCGCCTGGAAGTCAGCCCCGTTTCAGAACGCCCCCGTCACATATCCGATAACTACGCAAACGGCTTGTTCGTTGAACATTTGGTCGACTCAACGGAACTTAGAAACTTTCGACGTGTGTCACGCTTCGTACCCTTTGTATAAAACTCGGTAATTTTTTATGGACGTTTCATAAATCACCGTGTAAGCTTGGCTTACAGACAATTTAATGTGTCCAGAGCAACAAAGTGTCTTTTGCGGTAAAGTTCCGTAGTTTTGGCATGAGATCTTGGCTACAATGTGCGTGGGTTCTTAGAAAGATGGAGAACAAGCTGAGAGGTGGCGGGGTTAATAAGTTAACGATGTTTTTTTAAAGAATTTTCGTTCAGAAAGGAAAAAAGGAAAAATATGCATTGTTACAAGCAGGAACAAGACAATCGATGTAGACCATCAGTGAGTTATGTGGGTGCATGGAATAACGTAAAAAAGCGAAATAGGCACTAAAACATGACGTCAAGCTTTGCTGTAATACGAAACAGTATAGTTCTAATTTCTCTAGAACTATTAAAAGTCTGCCATAGCTGACTTGGTGAGAAACTGTGGATCAATCAGTTTCACGCAAACCGTCACGCCGTGAAATGCTGGTTTGTTTTTCTGCCCTCTTGATCTCAAAGGAACAACGAGAGCGGCATGTGACGTGTTGTTATGTTCATGTCGTGACGTTTCTTCCCACCCGAATCGTGACGCGATGGTTATTTGCCCACCAGAGTCGTGACGACAGTAGCGAACATCCACCGAATGCGATACGGAAAGGCACGAGCAACCAGTTATTTATAAATTTATTCGTTGATTTCTCGTATTCAGAAAATGCTTTTAGTCCTTGTCTCAGCTGTTGTGAAAAAACGTATTTTTCCTTGAATATTTCTTAACTTTAATGACGATGCCCGGCGAAGGCGGAGGTAATTGATGCAATTTTAAGAACGATCTGCGGCGTTGTGACGACAGTGACGAACTATCTCCGAATGAGATACGGAAATTTACGAGTCACAAAATATTCTCTTCCATATTCACATTGTAGACAACCTTGGACGAAGCATCGCTTTTCAATGAAAAGGTTGTGACATTGCCGGCTCTTCAAGGATGCAAGATTCTTCCACATTTTCACATGCAGGTAATAACATCTTCCGTTACTTTTAAAAATCGTTTAGGAGACGCCTTTAGTACAATGTTAAGTTTAAATTATTAGAAAAGACCCGCGATAACATAGTGTAATTCTCAGCTCAACAAGCAAACTCTGATCGAATAATTCCCGGCAATTAACACAGAGAAAGCAGAGATACTAACGAATTAAATCGTAATAAAGCATATCCAAATCTTTCCCAGAGCTCGTGCTACCATCAACCTCCGTAATTGAAATGTTTTCAAATTTATGATCCGTTCCGTGGGATCGATTGATTCGGTGTCCAAGCCGTTAAACAGTCGGTCAAAATATGACACGTGCACACCCAATTTCAATGAGATCCAAAGACTTGGAAACTCATAGTGGCTCCCTGTCAACATACGAAAAGCAATTTTCAGTTTAGCAATAGATGGTTCATTCCTTATCCGTCACCAATATTCCCTGCTATATCTGTCAGTAATAAATCCCGTGAGGTTAAATCCAGCTTCGTTTAGACTCCGCAGTCTCCTGCAGCTCTTACCTATGTTCAGTTAGCAGTTTTCAACGTCGTTCCAGTTGTATAAAGTCCAGAGTTATTTTGCATACAAACTTAAGTGATGTTGATCAGATTTCGATACAGTATCTCACTAGTATGATTGTCTCACTGTGATTACATCGCCAGTGAACACCCTTTCTTTGCCAGGTGTTTTGATGTCCACGAAGTAACAATATATCTTCGCATGCCGAAACTAAGGTAGTAGAAATTCGCAACAGACTATCGCATTAGATCGCATGGCAGTTTAATTATTTTAGACAGTATTAAAACATATTTACATAACTGGAGTTGGTGGATCAGTTATATTCTACCTACAGCATATTGGTGTGCAGTTATTAAGGGCCCAAGTTTCAATCTTCTTTCTGTTGTAGGCGGTTTTCTGGTTCTAAATCAAAAGAGTCCATGTTGTGACTAACTAAAGCTGTTTAAGCAGACCTTCAATTTTAAAATTGTGCACTCTTTTATTGCTTCCGTTGTCAAGTGTCGAGTGTCGAGCAAGTGAACTTGAATAAATCAGTAACTGATGCTTGCCCCGCATGTTCACCGCAAACAACTCAATTTTCCTTTGGCAAACAAACACCCACTACAAAAACGTGATTTCCTTCCGTAGGACCAGGGCGTTTAAATCAGCTTGGAGGTGCTTATATCAATGGCAAACCACTTCCAAAAGAGATTCGGAACGAAATCCTCGCGTTAGCCCTCCAAGGATTTCGTCCTTGTGACATAAGTCGTCGTTTACGGATTACCCATGGCTGTATTAGTAAGTTACTGTCCAAGTATCGTACAACTGGCTCAATCCAAGCTGGAGGAGAAAGTGCAGGCCGACCCCGAGTGATCACTCCTCGAATAGCACAGAGAATCATGGAGTACAGAAAGGAACAACCAGGTCTGTTTTCTTGGGAGATACGAGATCGTCTTGTTCAAGAAAACCTGTGCAGTAAGGAAAGTCCTCCCTCTCTCAGTTCCATCAGTAGATTGTTGAAGAATAAACATAATTTGGACACAGCGCAAGGAATTATCCGGAAACGTAACAGCAATTCCTACATGATTGCCAGTATCTTAAATCTACCGTCTAGCCAGTCGTCATCGTCGATTCCTCCATCGATGTCGTCTACTTCTATAGATAGTCGTGGAAAAATGGTTGAACAGAAACAGACAGGTCAGTAAAAAAGAAACTATTTTACGTGTTTTCCCTTTTCAATTGCTTGCAAAACCATTTTTATATCCTACGTGTTGTTTACTCTAGTGGTTCTATGTGCCCTAGTGCACGTAGGAGATTCCTCCAGCCCTGGTCCTCCTCAACAACAATATGACAACTTCCGAACGTCGCTTCCATGCCCGATAGTCAAGATAGTGACATTTCACGGAACGGGTCAAGCGAATTTGTTGGTAATCTTAAAATGTTAAAAGAAAGCATAGTCACAAGACTAGAATCAGGTGGGCCTGACTCCGGCAAGTCATCAAAATTTACTTAGGCCTTTCAGTCAAGAACTTGTATATAAAATGGCTAACCAAAATTGATGTAAGTCAATCAAGGCTCTGTGGAAGTAGCGCACATGGGGTGCCAACAGCTAACGGAAATCAGCTCTATGAAATATTTATTTAATAGTCAATATTTTGAGTATTCTGTGAGTTTTATTCTGAAAAATGTCGAAAAGTAGAGTTTCTAGAACCTTGCGGACATTCCAGTTTACTTGCCCAGTATTTGTGAATAATGTTAGAAATGACTGACAATATTAGCGTCTATTTAACTCCTATCTAATCAGAAACAACTGGAAAATGCTTTCAGTTAGGTTTACCCTCGATTTTTCTTAATACGTTGACTCAACTGATACTTGTTAAGCAATAGCGATTGACAATGTTTACTATCTGGCGATCATAACCTGGACATTCTAACTATTACTAAACGTGGATGGCATTGAATGACTTGGAAAGTTAATGATAGGTGGCTAGATGATTTAAACTTTACGGGGTTACGTACCAACAAAAAAATAATTTGGCTGACTTATTTATTTAGTTATTTTATTTAATTTCTAAATTAAACACCACGATAAAGGTAAGTCATTTAAACACGTGCACATAAAGCATTCAAAACATAGTAATGATATAAAAGTAATAGTTTAAACATTTTTTTTAACCTTTATGTATATTATATGACTAAGAATACAAAGCAATCCTTCTTTAAGAGGCCAAATTAACTGTTTGTCTGTTGTGTTGAGCTACTGAAAACAGTCCAGTGGACACTGAAGAAAACCCTCACATTGATATATTTCACATTTCTATCTGACTTACTTTTGAGAGGCAGTGTTTGAGCATAGTTGTACTCAATTTCAATCTTAGGGGTATTATAATACTGTGAAATAAAGGAGTGAAAATAACTTTTTCCCATCCACTCAGTTGTCAGAGTAATATAAATATTTCCACTCTACCAAGGCCTAAACTGTCATCTGTGAAATGAGATGATAAAGGTCGGACCTGAAAACACACTTAGTTGCTTTTCTGGTTTGAAAGAAACCCTTAATAACTTGTGCATGATCTATAAAATTGTTAATGTGTTTCTGTGCCAAGATTTCCTGAAAACAGATTTACTATTTCATAATCATTCCTGTTTTTTTCAAATACAAAATCTATATGAAAACAAAATATCCTCACAACGACGTTTGAAGCTCATTTGACGAATAACGTGGATCCTCCAATTTGCGACACCTTAAATCTTCTGTTAGAAAATATTTTTTGTCCAAAAACTCTTAGCTTAGTTTTTAGTGGTGCATATCTAGATTTAGATTTTTTAAATTTTTAACTTTTATCATATCTTTAAATTTTTATTTTATTTTGTAATTTTTATTATCTTATAAGTGTAAATAGTTTTTAATTTTTAACTTAGGATACAGGGCCACTGGTTCGTCAGTCTTTTTACTGTTATGTGTTACCCTCTGTAAATAAAGTTGTTACTTACTTACTTACTTACTTACTACTTACTTACTTACTTACTTACTTACTTACTATTAAGAAGACAAAAAACATTTAACCCAGAAAAATACTTTCTTATCTCTGTGGAAGGGACGCTGTCTTAAGGGATTCTCTACTACTTCTAGTTTCACATGACACAATGAGGTTAGAGTATTTGTAGCTGAATTTATTTTTGGCAATATCCAGCCAGATATGTCTTACCTTTGGAAAACAAACATTTCTGAAGCCCAAGGTTGATTTCCGTTGCAAAGATTACAACTGCAGAAATTGTTTTATGTAAGTTATATGCAAGTTAAGCTTACCTAGCATTAGAGCTAATTGTGCCAAGACGTGGTTTTACGTTTTGATTTGTGTACCATGAGTTAGACACTGATCTTTCTCAAGCCATTGAGGATTCCAGGTACAAATAACTTCCTTCTGAAAAGAGAAGGGGTCTTACTATAACGATCTTTTTAAAGTTATCTTGTTGAAAGTAATTTTAGCATTTATATAAAAAGTTATCGTAATTATATTGTGACGGATCTCGAAAAGCCCCACAAGTGAACATTAAAAAAGTATGTAATTCTTGTAACACACTATCACGACTACAAAGGACTACTGACACTGACACTTGTACCATTACCCAGTCGGATTTTGCTCATATAGACGCTAATTAGAGTAACTCGCTCTAATTTTATGGTTGAAGAAAAAAGAAACAAAGTTGTCAGGAAATCTGAGGAGGATTGAGGACAGAAGGATTTGTAGATTGTTATTAAAAAGGGTATAATAGGAACTAGGATTGGACTTCATAGCTTGTTGTTTGGGTCTAAATTGCCCCTTAGCCTAACCTCCAAGGCTGTGGGACCAATGGGTTTTCTATAATCAAGTGTTCCTTTATCGTGCTGGTCAGAGAGTGCCTGGCTGTAGGGAATGGTGGGTAGACTATAGAAGTTGGTGGCAGACCAGGGAGTGTAAGTCCAGCAATAAAATGTTTTGACATTGTGGAAATAGGATTTTGAAGCATTTTGAATGGCTACTTAGAATTGAGCTAAGGATTTGGATTTGCATTCTTCCCTTTTCTCTTTAGGACTCAGCATCTAAAAATACAACAAACAGCATCTAAAAATATCGCAGTCTCTCTGTTGACGTCAATTGTCTACCACATTGTCTGCCACTTGTAACTGTGAGTTTGTAGTGTTTGGTCATTAATAATAAACATTTATTTTGTTGGCCGTCACAGAGAATACCCAGGATGCTGAAGACTCACGCGAAACTTTTCCGCTGCGGATTCAGAGAAGAGAACGCATCAAGTACACGAGCCACCAACTACATGAACTTGAAACAGCATTTAAAATCAATCAGTACCCATCTGTGTCAGGGAGAGAACAACTAGCAAGAAAAATTGGAGTTACTGAGTCCAGAATTCAGGTGCAGTGCTATTCAGGTGTTATTCAACTGCATTACTGTTTAGTTCAGGTAACTTAAACTGACTAATGTTTGAGCTCTAAAGTAAATAGGAGAATCTACCAACTACCATTTAGTTTCCTCTGATGGGTAAGTAACAATACATTTGTTTTACTTTTAACAATAGATTTTAAGCAACAACCTGTAAACTGTAACAAATAAATGGAAGGCTTCTCAGTCCTTCCAACTTCACAGGCTACAAATTCAGGCGCTGTTGGGTTATGACATTGAATTTGACAAGTTCTAGTTATCTACCGAACACTCTTGGTTGGCACAAAAAGGAATTGTTATCTATATAAAACATAAGCCAGCCTGAGTGTATTTTTCCAACATGTTTACTCCAAGAATAATACTACTGACCTTCCGAACATTTGTCACAAATTATCTTAAAGGCCAAGAACGGCTTTTCTCAAGCGTAGCCTTTGCCACAGCGCTGCCTCCCCCAGGAACACAATCTAGCTAGAGACCTAAAACTAGCTAATCCCCGTGGCCCATCTGCAAAAGAGGATTAACGAGAAGTTCGCTGAACCAGACTCCTCCACGACAATAAAAAAAACTGTGTACCCCATCGAACCAACAAAAATAGGCTTTCTAATGAACAAAGTTAATCCAGAGTTTGTTATTAACGTTTCATGGTAGATTTTACGATATTTAAAACCAAATTCTTCAGATCTTCTAATCACCTGTTTGGTGGACTCTAGGTGTGGTTCTCAAATCGAAGGGCAAAGTGCAAAGCTAGAAGGCACTCGACTAATGAAGCAGATTCAAGAACAAACGACCCAAAAGACTGCTCGTGTCGACGGATTTCAGACTCTCACGTACTACCGAAAATGATGGGACCTGGTACATCAAGAATATTCTTTCCACCTGAACAACATTAAGCTGTTTGTTGCACGAAATGTGCCTAATGGTAATACTTACTCTTAAATATTTAGACTGGTTTTCTAGATTGGCCCATGAAATCTACACTAGTCTCTTCCCAGAGAACTAGCTTTATGTTTGAATTTGTTCTATTCACACCTCGAGTGAGCTTTCTAAGAAATACATTTCCTAACCTACAAAGATGCCTCTCTTCTTGCCCTGTACGTTTCAAATGTTTAAATGATTCATGGCTAGCATTGGATATGAGATGACACATAACCCAG